CGTCATCTGGGGCCCCGCTGCAGAGAAATGGTGGGCCCGCGCGATGGCCCTTCCCCGCTCTTGGTGCCGCCCCTAGCGTTCTCGCGAACCTGTGTAATTCGAAGGCCCTTTCCGCTCTTTCTTGCCTGGCTCAGCTCTTCCCCATCCCTGCCCAGATTCGGAAGCTGGAACACCAGCCATTGCATAAGTTCTTCAGAATGCCGCCGAAGAGCGTCGGCCATGCTGACCTGAATGCCCAGCCAACCTTCTCAGCCGTTGCTCTTTCCTTTGTTTCTTCACTTGGCTGGGCAAGTCGTTGGCGCGCATCCTTTTGGACAGTGACTCGCGTGAGCAGACTGCCTTGCACGGCTTCGGAGAGCGTGCGCAAGATCATGCCGCCGTCGTTCGCTTCTGCGCCGGCAAATATTCAGCCCCGTTTTGGAAAGTGCCAAGCCCCAGTGCGCAGTTTTTGGAGCGAGCGCGCTTGCCCCCGCCACGCATTGCCAACGTGCAGGGCTGGCGCGGCGCTTTCCGCGCCGCTCGCGCCCGTGCTTCAGAGGGTGCGCGAGAGAGCCGCAAGCCGCATCCTCAACGCATCTTTGCCCGCGCGCTCCGCCCGAGTGCCTTTCCAGACCCCTTCGCGCGCGCGCTGCGGAAACGTTTCAAGGCTTAACAAAACATGATTCCTGGAGGGGGGCGGTCGGTGGACGTGCGGTGGAAGCGCTGTGAGTCGTGCGTGGCATGCTCGAAGCCAGCATGGCAACGGAGCATTCTCAAGACTCTCTGCGGTGCGCGGACAACCGCGCGCCACCTGCATGTGGGCACCCCACCCACCACTTGCATATGGGGCTGCGTTGCCCCTGGCGAGATTGCACGCTACCTCCGCTGTCCGCGTCTCTTCCATCACCTCGCCATGCATCGTGCGTGGAGGCGCCGTCACTTTCCAGGCTCGCCTCTCACGTTGCTGGGATTGGGGTGGGTGGGCGACTACGGGCGGGCGGGATCGGAGCTCACGCGTGAAGAGTGTTTACAAGCAGTTGTCCTGGCCTTCCGTATGTACCATAAGGCTAAGGACTTCGCACAGTGTTCCCCAATGTCCCTTAAGAGGGCATATGACATCAGAGGTGCGGTAGAGGTGGCCATGGAGCGGTAGAGGTCTTGTTCTCGCTCCACACTTCCTTCGGTGCTGCTCTGCCCACCTCCTTATGTTTATTTCTATTGCATTTCAGCTTCCTTCGACGCGGTGGCGGCGGCGCTGTTCAGACCTCTAGGGGGCTGCCCCATATTTGTCTGGGTGTTTGGTGGTGTCGTGGGTCGCGTCCTGTTCCGGCGTTGCCCCGAAACAGCACGCGCCCGTTCTAGCCTAGAGCATGTCAGGGCGCGGCGGTGAGCCTTCCCGTTGTGCGCACAGATTCACAAGTGGTCTGTTTCGAGCACCATCTTGTGGGCTCTGCTGGTGGCGGAAATGGCAAAGGGTTCCGCTGCCCTTCGGGAGGCCGAAAACCCGAGCGCCACACAGCAGGAGCCCGCTCTCCCTCTGCCGATGCCCACGCGTTGGCCGAGGTCGAGGCCGGCGGTCGGACAGACCTTGACGGGTACGTCGTTTCCTCCTCTTTCTTTCCCTCCTCCTCCTCCTCCTCCTCCTCCTCCTCTTCCTTCTCCTCGTCCTCGTCCTCCTCCCCCTCTTCCTCGGGCGAAAGAAAAGCATGCTGCTGTTTAGTGTTAGCGTGCGTGCTGAGATGTGTTATGGTCGCCCCTGTTTGGCTTCACCCCTCCTGTTCGCAAAAAAGGGAGAACTCTGGCGGCGGACCTAGCTGGTTATGGGAAGAAAGTACGGTGCACCTCGACCGAGATGCTGTTGTTGTATGAAGCGGGGGACCCTCGGACTGCGCGCGTGAAACGCCAAGCCAAGGAATGTTTTGTTTTGTGGGGCCAACAGCCCCGCGTTCAGACAGCAGGTCAGGAGGGGTTGGACGGCCACCAAGTTTAAGCTTGCCAGACTTCAGAGGGGTCTCCACGGACGGCGGTGGCAGAGGCCCATGGGGGCCTTGCTGCTTACGTTGAAGGCCCTGGGGGGGTCAGAATTGAACCTGATTGTTAAAAGAGGACGCCAACGGGTGCGAGTGAATGTTCAACCCCGACGGCTCCCAATATGTTTCAGAAATACGTGAGGCCCTCACCCAGTCGGTCACCCTGCAGTTGTGGAAGCGTGTTTCTAGACATTGACGGGGCTTATTTGGAGGCCGGAGGCGACCTCGCAATCTTGTGAGCCAATGCCGAGCGTATACATAAGAAAGGCATGTTTCAGGAAGATGGGGCCCTGGAGGGGATAACTTGTGCTACAGTCTGGAACGGGACCCCCAGCGCAGGGAGGGGTACCAGGCCCCAGGTTTGTGAGACCGCTGCGACACAGGAGCGCCAGACCCTTCCAGGCATCGAGTGAATGAATGTCCAGCTGGCCAGACTATGGACCAACCACGGGTAGCCAGAACGGAGCACTTGCGCGACAAAGCCCTCAGGGAACTCGACCAAGGGGTCCAACAGATCGATCTGGCTCCCAGGAATAATGCCACATTCCTGGCACCAAGTGCCTCCACCACCCGAGCAGGGGGACGAGAACGCGTGGAACATTAAGGCCGTCGATGCCCTTCCCCTCTCCCCAGGCCCCTCTGGAGAGGTTTCAATGATCCAGAGGCTGCGTGCGCTTGCGGCCTTCCTGGGCGCATCAGGGCCTTCCTCGGACCCGCGTGCGGCTCGCGTGGGGTGGGGGGTGTACCTCCAGACGGGACCTAGGACCCTTCCTTGTGGGATGTGGTGGGTGTTTTACGAGACCATGACACCCCTACCCCTCGAGCCCCCTTTGATGTGTTTCACGTACTGTTTGACACTCTGTCTCTGTGCGTGCAGTGCAGCAAGGGGGCATCGCTCACTGTCGCTCGCTTGGTTTCTCTGTCGTCCCCAACCGATCCGCGAGTCGGCTCACAGTGGGTGGGCGCCTCCCGCCGGACAACCCTCATCCAGCAGTGTGTGCCCACGGTCACCATGACCCCTGCTACTAAGGGCCGCGAGCGCTGCCCTAGAACTCCCGTGTGGAGGGGGGCTAATCGTCCAGGCGGGCCACCCAGTGGGAGCGCTCCTCGGGGCACGCCATGTCTAGGCTGGTCAACGGAGCGTGGGTTTGCCGAGTGTGCCGGCAAGGCCCCCCCTCGGGATTCGGCTCCGACCGAGTGGCTCGAAGATAACCGCTGCAAGGGCGACCCCACCAGTCGGCACCTCAGTGGGCGCGGTAGCACTGTGTTGATCCCCCGCGCTGCCACCACCGAATTGCGAAAGGCGACTGCTGTCGCTTACCCGTCGCATGATGCAGCGATGAGGAATGGGCAGGTCTGGTGATGGAAGTGTGCGAGTATCGGCAACACTGCCAACGGATGGGGCCATATCAGGGTACTCGCCCAGGAGTGCCGTGACTGGATGACTCATTCTGGAGCTGACTATCTGAATAGATTGCGCTGGGGCCTCCCCCCAAGGGCGACAAATGGCCCATTCCCCCAAGTGGTTCTGAGGGGGGCGGGGGGGGGGGGGGGCGCCTCCAAGAGGAGGTAGGGTCGCGCGTGATCAAATTTCATGTAAAGCGCAAGCCGCAGATATAGTGAGCTATCGAGAGCCACCCCCCGAGGGGGGTTGCAACTATCGCTGTGGCACTGTTGTTGACTGGCATAATGCTGCTTTCTCCCATCCTTCTCCTCCTGCTCTTCCTCCTCCTCCATTTGTCTCCCTATAATTCATAATTCTCCTGCTGCTGCTGCTGCTCCTCCTCCTCCTCCTCCTCCTCCTTCTCCTCCTCCCACTCCCTCCGTGTGTGCGTGTGTGCGCGCGCGTGAGTGCGTGCGTGCGTGCGTGCGTGCGTGCGTGCGTGCGTGCGTGCGTGCGTGCGTGCGTGCGTGCGTGCGTGCGTGTGTGTGTGTGTGTGTGTGTGTGTGTGTGTGTGTTTGTGCGTGTCTGTATGTGTGTGTGTTTGTGCGTGTGTGTGTGTGTGTGTGTGTGTGTGTGTGTGTGTTTAAGTTTGGTCGTCTCTGTCTGTCCTTACAGGTTTTCGGATGCGACTGGTTATATGTTTGCTGGCAGGGTGTGCGAACCAAACGTACATTTCCGATGCTTGTTGTGCTGGGCGCGGCTGGTGGCGCAGCTTTGGTTCGCTACGGCTGGCGTTGCCAAGCGTCGTGGGCTCCGATCATCGCGGCCGCTGGCGTTGATCCGTAGGTCACACCCATCTGCCGCGCAAGTCAACCGGGCTGGCCACACCACCAATCTTCACAGCAGCATTTGTTTTGCACTTCACTGTCGAACAACGCTCTTGTGATTCAGTGGCCGCGTGTAGCCTCGGGCTGTCGCGCTTCAGTTCACTTTGAGTTGGGTATCGTGCTCGTCTTCTGGCCGCTGCATGTTTCGTTTGGACTCACAGTTCCTCTGACACACCCATCGCTTGCATTTGCAGTGTGCGACGCTTGTACGCTGCGCTATTGACAAAATTCGGTTGCAATTAGCACTTCCATCTGCTGATCGCACTTGAGGACCCTCTTCGCCGCTGACTTAAGACAAGTGTGTGTGTGTGTTGGCGGTGTCCTGTGCCTTCTCGCCCATGGTTCCCCTTCGTTCTCTCGTCGTGTCGTTGCTGGGCCGTGGCCCAGAATTAAATTGGGGGAGACTTTCGATTATCTTCCATAGCGAGCTTGCCGCGGGGAGGATGGTGATGTAGGCCATCATGGGCTCTTTCCCCATAAAGCGGTCCTGCTTTGGGCCATTGGTTTCCCCCGAGCGAGGCTGCAGGCTGTAGCCCCGTGCTAACCGCTGACCATTCTGCAAACCCACTGCTCGTCTTGCAACGTGTTGCATTCCAGGCGTCACTCATCAGGGTCGCAAGCGTTCCAGCCCAGTCCAGTCCCACTCCCTCCTTCTCCTCCTCCCCAACCCCCTCGCCCTCCTGTAAGAGAGCCCCCCCGCCCGACGGACCGCCGTGGGAGGTCGTGAAGGGCTCCGAGGCCACCTCCGCGCATGCCGCCGGCGACAGCTCGCGGGCGCTCCCCGCAGGCACCCCTGCTCGACGACGACGACGACGACGACGACGACGACGACGACGACGACGACGACGACGACGACGACGGCGGCGGCGGCGGCGGCGACGGCAGCGACGGCGGCCACCAAGATGACGAGGACGACGGTGGCGGCGACGACGACGACGACGACGACGACGAGGACGACGACGACGACGACGACGACGACGACGACGACGACGACGACGACGACGACGACGACGGCGGCGCCAGCGCCCGCCGCGGAGGCGGCGGCGACGACGACGACGACGGCGACGGCGGCGGCGACGGCGACGGCGACGGCGGCGGCGACGGCGACGACGATGACGGCGGCGACGGCGACGGCGACGGCGGCGACGGCGACGATGATGGCGGCGATGGCGATGGCGATGGCTGCGGCGGCGGCGGCCACGGTGGAGGCGGAGGCGGCGGAGGCGGGGGCGGCGGCGGCGACGAGGTGGAGGAGCATGAGCATGAGAAGTAGGAACAGCAGCAGCAGCAGCAGCGGAGTTTCGGTCGCCCTCGGTCGGCCCGGAGCGCCCGCACCTCGGGTGCCAGCGTCGACTTGGAGGGCGGAGGGCCTTTGGGGACGCGGAGTTAAAACATTCGACGCGCCTCGAAGTCCAGCGCCGCAGAGCTGCTCTTTTCCGCAGTGAAGAGGAAGAAGGCTTGTGTAGGGACTTCTGAGGTGGGGCCTTGGGACGGGAGGGTGTGCTGCCGCATCGTTTACGCATCTGGGTTTTTTTTGGCTCCGCCTCCTCTCCTCCTCCTCCTCCTCCTCCTCCTCCTCCTCCTCCTCCTCCTCCTCCTCCTCCTCCTCCTCCTCCTCCACCTCCCCCCCCTCCCCCTCAAACTCCTCCTCGGCTCTCCGCTGCCATCCTCCTGCTCCTCCGCCTCCTCCTCTTCTTCCCTCCTCCTGCTCCTCCGGCTCCTCCTCCTCCTCCTCCGGCTCCTTCTCCTCTCCTCCTCCTCCTCCTCCTCCTCCTCCTCCTCCTCCTCCTCTTCCTTTTCCTCCTCCTCCTCCTCCTCCTCCTTTTCCCTCCCCCCCGCCCGCGCGCGCGAGGCTTGGAGGAGGGCGGCCGCGCGCTTTCGCAGGACTGGGCCGGGCGGTGCCGGGGGGTCTGCCTCGGTGCCGTCCAGGGGCCGCCCGGCGCAGCAGCCGGCGCCACGCCGAAGTGGTTCATTCGGGAGCCTTGAGACGGGGGTCAATGCAGACGGGGGTCAGCCAGAGCGCCAGATCTTGCAGGATCCTGCAGGGCCAGGGGCGCATTGACCCGGGTTTGAGTGCAGGATCTTGCAAGATGTTGCAGGATCTTTCGCATTGACCCGGGTTTTGGGTGCAGGATCTTGCAGGATCTTGCATGATTCTGCAAGGCCTGACTGACCCGGGTCTGGATTGACCCGGATCAGAAGATCCCCGATTCATGAGCGACGATACAGCCAAGACGCTGAAATAAGGAACAGTTTGGATTCGGAAGGAGTTCGATGTTCCTTACGTTAAGTCGGGCCTGTCCCCCTACAGGGGGATTTTCGACGGAAAATGAAAATACCCCAAAAATAATCCAAAAATAGTGTGGGGACTATTTTTGGAGTTTTTTTTTTAACCTTTTTGGGGCATTTTTGGAGTATTTTTTTTCCTCGTCGAAAATCCCCCTGTAGGCGGACACGCCCGACTTAATCCTTACGTCCTTCCGCGGTGGTTCCTCTAGCCCTTCTCGTGCACCCAGGCTTTTTGGAAGCCGCAGAGGGGCTTCGTTCCTTGTTTAGTGTCCCTTATTTCAGCAGCCCGACTGTATACACAGACCCCCGACGTCATGATTTTTTCATGACGTCGACCCCCCGAGGTCTCGACCCATTCCCGGGGACCGGTTTTTCGTCCTGAGTCGTTTTTTGACGGTCCCGAAGACCGGTAAGGGCCCCCAAAGGCAAAAAATAATGAAAAACCTCCCGTCGTGATTTTTTCATAACTCGAGGGGGTCTGGGGAGGAGGGCAGGTATTGGGGGGGGGGACGCATCGACCCCCAATCGCCCATTGATCACCGATAGGGGCCCGATAGCCGCACCCCGCCCAGGCGCGTGCGGGTTTGCTACCGGGGGCCTGTCGCCGATCTGTCGGCGATGGATCGCCGATTCCGGGTCGATGTCCCCCCCCTCACCACCCACCAAACCACCCCAACCCAACCCGAAGGCTCAGATTTACCCTCGATTGCCATTGGGGGGGGTGTCGGGAAACATCGAAAAAACACATGTGGAACCCTTACCCCCCAACCCGAAATTCGGGTCTTCGGGTTGGGTTGGGGTGGTCTGGTAGGTAGTCACCCCCTCTGTGCCAGTCCCCCCATGTCGTTGCCCCGCAGGGGTCGGCATTTGTAAGCCCAGACCTGCACCCTGACTCAAGGAGCCGCCCACCTTCTCTGAGGCGGGACTTTCCGTCCTGCTTTCTCGCCTCGTTCGGGGTGCATTTCCGATACAGTCGGGGCCTTGAAGAAGGAACCCTTTTCGTTGGGAAGGGGCTCCGCGTTCCTTAAGTGTCTCACAGCTTGCCTCAGGCTTTCCTTATGTATTCGACAGGAAATCGAAGTTTAACTTCTGGAGCAAAAGGGCCTCGTTCCTTATTTAGGGTTCCTTAGGTCAACGCCCCGACTGTACTGAGTACTGCTTTCAAACCGGGAAATCAACCAACGTGCGGCGGATCCGGAGTTAAGGCCGCTTGGGTCTGGCGGCCTCTCGCAGGGCCTTCGACTACATGGAAAGACGATCTGGACGAAAAATTGGCCTCCTCCTCCTCCTCCTCCTCATCCTCCTCCTCCTCCCACTCCTCCTCCTCCTTCTCCTCCTCCTCCTCCTCCTCCTCCTCCTCCTCCTCCTCCTCCTCCTCCTCCTCCTCTCTGAACGAAAAATTTGCCCCTGGGGGCCTCGCATTGAAAAAAATTGGGACATCGGGGGTATGGGATCGGCGCCACGTCGACGGGATCGACATCTGCAGTGGCCTCCTCGGAGGGTTTCTTGTGCTTTCGCCAGCTCTGCAAACCATGAAGACATTTGACCTCCTCCTCCTCCTGCCGCGCTGTGGGCGGCGATGATTGGAAGGGCGATTCATGCGGGGGGGGGGGGGCGAGGGTTGCAGAAAAGGGGCCCTCTAGGCCCCCTAAATGGGGCCCTTCCGAGCCCCAAAACGGCCCCCAGTGCCCGACGAGTGTTCCTTGGCCTCCTCCTCCTCCTCCTCCTCCTCCTCCTCCTCCTCCTCCTCCCACTCCTCCTCCTCCTCCTCCTCCTCCTCCTCCTCCTCCTCCTCCTCCTCCTCCTCCTCCTCCTCCTACTCAGGCCCCGAGGGTGGGGGCCTGGCACCTGTTCTCATGGTGTCAGCGCCACACACTCCTCGGGGCACACTGTCAGTGTCAATTGCATGCGGCGGCTGGGGGCAGATAAACTGGGTTTCGTCGTTCTTGCACCAGCCACGTGGCACTTTGCCCGTGGCAGCGGCGCGTTAGCTGCGCCCGTGACCTGGGGATGGGTACCAGGCACGGGGAGTGTGCGTTTGGTTGAGAGGCGGGGCCATGTGGTCCGTAAGTCCCTTGGGACCTTGTGTCCGCTCATCCTGGGGTACAAACCCAGTTGCACATGCCATCCGATTCGACAGGGGTGACGGTCGGGAAGTACTGCGCGGTGACGCGGTGAACCGGCTGTCCCCCTACGCACCACGCCGTCTCGGTTGGGCAGCGAGTCGCTGAGCGACGAGGTATCTGCCTTTCCTCTGGCCGTCGGTGCTGGCGCCTGCGGGCCCCTTCCTCCTGTCTGGGAGGCCGCGGGTGACGCTTGAGCCTCGCTCGCCGTTCACTTCTTGGATCTACGACACTCATGACACTTCTACTCCTACTCCTGGTCCTCCTCCTCCTCCTCCTCCTCCTCCTCCTCCTCCTCCTCCTCCTCCTCCTCCTGTTGCCCGAAGGCGGGGCCCCGGTCGCGCCGTGGAAGAGGAGGCACGGCGGGAGGCTCTCGGCCTGGCGTCCGCGGGCCCGCGTCGGGCCTCGAGGGGCGCTTCCTCGGAAGCTCCCTCCAAGAGCCTCCAGAGCTCCTTCCCCAGACCCCCTCGAGTTACAGCCGGGGCCCTGAAGAAGGAACCCTTTTCGTTGGGGAGGAGCTCGGTGTTCCTTGATTGTTCGACAGTTTGCTTTCTGTTTTCCTGAAGTTTTCCATGGGAAATCGAAGTTCAACTTATGGGAGAAAGGGGCCCCGTTCCTTATTTAGGGTTCCTTAGGTCAACGCCCCGACTGTATGGAAAAATCACGACGGGAGGTTTTTCATCATTTTTGGCCCTTGGGGGCCATTATCGGCCCTCGGGACCGCCAAAAAACGACTCAGGACGAAAAGCCGGTCCCTGGGAATGGGTCGAGACCTCGGGGGTTCGACGTCATGAAAAAAATCATGATGTCGGGGGTTTGGGTCGAAAGGGTGTTACGAGGCCTTTCTGGCGCGCCTCCTCCTCTTCCTCCTCCTCCTCCTCCTCCTCCTCCTTCAGCTCCTCTCCCTCCTCGTCCTTCTTCCTCCTCCTCCTCCTCCTCCTCCTCCTCCTCCTCCTCCTTCCGCCCCCTTCCTCCTCCAGGTTTTATATGGGTGTCCACGGTGTTACAAGGTTTCCAGAGCTCCTTCGTAAAGGTGTTGTCCGGGTTTTGGACACCACGCTGCACCTCGCCGAGGGCGCTTCCGGGTGCCGGCATCGTCTCGCGAGCGGCCGCCGCTGGAAGCCCGAGCCGTGGCCCGAGAGCCTCTGGAGCAGAAGGGCGGGGGCACGACCGCGGTGGGGCGGGGGAATCAAGCAGTGGCGACGTGTTCTGGCTTGCTTATAGGACCACCAAATAATGTTCTAAGAGCCTTGTGTGGTCTGCACGAGATGTTCTTGTAACATTCATGGCTGGGACTGTCCTGTGTCAACGCATCGGCTCGATGCTCTAAGAACATTGCTTTTGTTTTTCGATTCTGAGAGCAAGAACAATGTCCTTAGAACATTCTCGGGTTCTAAGAAAATGTCGTGGTAGGCTGGTGGGCCGATAGGAATGCTGGGACGGTCGGACCCTGCTGAAATGATCGACTCGGAGTGCAGTGCCCCAGCAAGGCCTCAGGAGGGCCATCGATCATTGCTTACACCAGACCACCACCCCTTCCCAACCCGAAGGCCCCAGACCCCCATCCAGATGTCTGTTGGAGGGGCGTACGCGTTCCACTGCACTTTTCTTGGAGGTTCCAAAATGCCCCGCCGCCGACGACGACGACGACGACGACGACGACGACGACGACGACGACGACGACGTAATCAGCACTTTGCGTCGAGGCCAGCTTCCGCAGTGCTATTCTTGGATGTGCGGGGGTCTGGGATGCCTGGGGAGTCCGTCGTGAAGGCCAGGGGTGCTTTTGACTCGGACAGGCCTGCTCCCCGGTGAGCGGGGCGGAGCAATGCCGGCGGGAAGGCCTGGACAGCCCTGACTCCGGATCCGCCCTACTTTGGGGAAATTCGTAAGTGGGGCTTGGAATTTCCGCCTTACTTTTCAAGCCCCGCTGATGCCAATTTCCGCCCTACTTTTCTGTTGCTGTTTCTGTGGATTTCCGCCCCATTTTATGTTGGGTGCAGCAATTTCCGCCCTACTTTTTCGGCCATAGGTGGATTTCCGACGCAATTTTAAGTTGGAAAAAAAGCCGAAGTAGGGCGGATCCGGAGTCAGGATTAAGTAAGTACACCAGAGCGACGGGACTCGAGCTGGGGGGCGGGGGGCCTGTAGCGCCGGGGCGCCGGCTGCGGTGTGCCGCTCGCCTGCCGCCCGCGGCTGCTGACATGGTGCGTGCCGACCTTTGCACCGACGTGGGGTGCAACCTATACTCTCTGGTCTGACTCCGGATCCGCCCTACTTCGGCTTTTTTTTCCAACTTAAAATTGCGTCGTAAATCCACCTAGAAGAGGCCGAAAAAGTGGGCGGAAATTTTGCACCCAACATAAAATGGGGCAGACATCCACAGAAGTAGGGCGGAAACAACAACAGAAAAGTAGGGCGGAAATTGGCATCAGCGGGGCTTGAAAAGTAAGGCGGAAATTCCAAGCCCTACTTACGAATTTCCCCAAAGTAGGGCGGATCCGGAGTCAGGGTACCCTCTGGTCCTGAACCAAAACTGCGCGGCGCCCCCCGCCCCGCTCCTCTCCCTACGTTTTCCGTGGCATGCAATGCTAGCCTCGCTGTCTGCGGAGTATCCCCCTGAGTTGGACACGCTTGACGCGGCCAGCCTGGGGGAGGGCTGGGTGCACACGCGATGCGCTCCAGAACGAAAGGGCGTCCGTCTCCTTCGGGTTGGCGAAGGAGCTGGTGCGTCCTTCCCGGCGGAAGGCGGCGGAAGTCAGACCGGGGCGGCTCCGCCGGCGGAAGGCGGCGGAAGTCAAAGCTGCGCCCCCCCCCCCAAGAGACGACAACATGCAGGAGGGGAAAACACACACCGACACAATTAATCGTCGACCCCGAGGAAAATATGGGAAAATATTGGAAGTGGGGGGGAAGACGAAAACCCAGAAAATGTTGGAAAAGATGGGGAATCCTGTTATTTGTGTGTATTTGTTTGTGTGTCCCAGGGCCCCTTCAAACATGCCTGGATGCAGGACTTTGGGAAATCGGCCAGGGGGCCGCACATCTTTCCAGCCTTCGGCCCTCGTGCGACTGGGAGCAGTGGCGCTCCGCGCGTGTGTCCAGCGCGGGGGCTCTTCGGGTGCTCCACGCGTGAGCCCAGCCGTGCGTGTTTCCAGCCTCCTGGCCGCCTTCTCTCAGGAGGGGAAAAAACACACAGACACACTTCATCGTTGATCCCCCGGAAAAACTGGGAAAATATGGGGAGTGGGGGGGGGGACAAAAGCCCAGAAAATATAAGAATGTATGGGGGATCCTGTTATTTGTGTGTATTTCTTTGTGTGTCCCAGGGCCCCTTGATTCTCTCGCACGATCGCGCGACGCTGTGGGCTGCGGGCGAGGGGTTGGTGGGGCGGGGGCAGTTGTGTATGACTTGAGGTCACAACTGTTGCTGGAAAGGCAGGGGCATGCACCCTATGTCGATGCGGGAGAAGGGCACGTCCAAGGCCGGCGTGGTTTTGTCGATCCTTGGGCCGTAGGATTCTCTTGACGTCTTCCCTACTCACCCGTTGCGAAAGTTGTTCGGTATGGGACATGTCAACCACGGCGACACCAAGTGGGCCCTCTTCCCCCCGTTGACTCCTAGCACGACTCCCTTCGGCCTGGACGTGTGAGAGAGCTTTCCGGAGTTCTTCCCGGCGTAGAATTCATTTCGGGGCGAAATTGTCCCCCCTGGCATTTCACGAGGAAGAACTCATTCTCAGCCGTTTTTTATTCCATCCTGAATTCCTCCCCACATGAAGCAACAAAAGCAACATCTATGCCGGGG